TGGATTCACATATTGATCAATAATATAAAATACACAAGTGTGTGATTATAATTAATAATTGACGTGAGTAGTAGCAAAAATATTTTGGGTGAGCTTTTCGGGGTCCCTGAGACCCCAACTATTCTACTGAATCCCAAATAAGTGCACACACACACATACACAGCCAAGTCAATGTAAAGTCAAACAAAGCGAAGCGCAGATTTTTTTCAAACCAGCTGTCCCGACCTTCCGATACTGCATGACGTTTGAAGCTTCAAACGTCATCAATCACGTGGTATTGTCATTTCGATACAAGCATCGGCACAGTGTGTGATACAATAGTGCTTTGAAAACTGTGTCGGAGAATTGGAGCCTCGGTATCAATCGTCCCATTACTAGAGAAAACTGTTGATGCGATTATTCGGAAATGGAAGAAATACGAAACAACCATCAATCGACCTTGGTCTGGAGCTCCGTGCAAGAGCTCGCCTCATGGAGTAAGGTTGATCATGAGAAAGGTGAGGGATCAGCCCAGAACTACACGGGAGGGAACACTGAAGATGGGTCATGGATAAGTCTTCAAGGATTACAATGACCCAAAACATACCGCCAAGGCAACAAAGGTGGCTCAAGAAGAAGCACATTAAGGTCATGGAGTGGCCTAGTCAGTCTCCAGACCTCAATCCTGTAGAAAACCTGTGGAGGGAGCTGAAACTTCGAGTTGCCAAACAACAGCCAACAAACTTTAAGAATTTAGAGAGGATCTGTAAAGAGGAGTGGAACAAAATCCCTCCTGAGATGTGTGCAAATCTGGTGACCAACTACAAGACACGTCTTACCTCTGTGCTTGCCAACAAGGGTTTCTGCACCAAGTACTAAGTCATGTTTTGCTTGGGGATCAAATACTTATTTCACTCACTGAAATGCAAATTAATTTATAACCTTTATATAATGTGTTTTTTCTGGATTTTTGGTTGGTATTCTATATGTTAAAATAAACCTACCATAAAAATTACAGACCCTTAATTTCTTTGTAAGTGGGCAAACTTACAAAATCAGCAGGGGATCAAATAAATATTTTCCCCACTGTAAGATGTAAGTTAACTTTTTTCATTGATCTGTTTTATGAATGCAACATAATACTCTAAGCTGTGCTGTATTGTAGGTTGAAATTTCTTAGTGTAACAAGAGCCTTTATTTCTCCCTACAGAATTAAAAACTTGTGGCTCCACCTCAAACCGAAAAACATCATCTTTTTTTATTTTTTAGCACTGGTACTTATAAGTTGTTTTGTCACATTTTTAACTGTAAATGAAAGAGGAAGACAGAAAACCAGAGTGTTTGAGAGGCCACGTCTGACAGTACAATATCAAATTAATCGCACAGCAATATATGAAATGGAACCAGTGGAACTGGGCAAAACTTTAGCCATTCGCAATCAAAAAAGCTATGTAGGGCCAACCGATGAGGCTGTTGTGAATTCCACCTCTGATTGTGATCAATTTGTGTCACAAGGTTATGATGCGATTCAAGGCTCTGAGTTTGAGCGTGAATTTCCCCTTGCTTATTCTTTGGCTGTTCACCAGGATGCAGCTCTTGTGGAGAGGTTGCTAAGGGCCGTTTATATGCCACATAACATATACTGCATACATTATGATCTGAAGTCCTCAGATGACTTTATTTCAGCAATGAAAGGTCTGGCCCGCTGCATCCCCAACGTCTTCATTGCCTCAAAGCTGGAGAGGGTGCAGTACGCAGGAATCTCACGACTCAAAGCGGATCTTAATTGCCTGTCTGACCTCCTAGATTCTGAGGTCAAATGGAAGTATGTCATCAACCTCTGTGGTCAAGACTTTCCACTTCGGACAAATGCTGAGCTGGTGTCGGATCTAAAAGAGCTGAAAGGCAGGAACATGGTGGAGAGCAAGTGGCCTGGAGGAAAGCAATGGCGCTGGACTTATCATCATTCACTGAAAGATAGTAATTCAGAGTACTACAGCTCACCTGTCACCACTTCTGAGATGAAATCTCCACCTCCTCACAACATAGCCATGTTTGTGGGCAGCGCATACTTCACACTCTCAAGGGAATTTGTGGTTTTTGTTCACCAGAGTTCCCTAGCCAGTGATTTCTTGGCTTGGTCTGAGGATACATACTCACCTGATGAACATTTCTGGGCGACTATGATTCGTGTGTCTGGAGTACCAGGGGAAGTGCCAAGTTCTGATCCTGAGATCTCAGAACTAGTAAGTAAAACCCGTCTGGTGAAGTGGTGGTCTTTAGAAGCGAGACTTTATCCACCATGCACTGGAGTCCATGTGCGAGAAGTGTGTATTTATGGTGCTGCTGAGCTCAGATGGCTCCTAAACTACGGCCACTGGTTTGCTAATAAAGTGGATCCAAAAGTGGATTCTTATGGAATGTTTAGAAGAAAAACTTGCAGAAAAACGTGTGCAGAGAAGTATAAATAATGCATTCTCATTCTGGAGATCAATACTGGACGTCAGGTTGTGTGCTGTAAGTTATTCTCTGTCGCCCCCTGCTGCGTACAAAAGAATGGAGCATGAGTTGGTTCATCAATGAATTATTGCATTGTTTATTACCTGTGCAATATAGCTACAAATTCAAATAATTACTTTAAGTAAAAAAAATAAATACAAAAAAATTAATGTTGTGCTCATTGCAGATTAACAAAATCAATTCTGCAAATAACAAAAGAATTAGAGAACTTGCATGTTAATAAAAATAGGCCTACTGCTCAATAAACTACAGTTATATACAAACAAACCTCACCTATCCAGTCAAATGGAGCCTCTTAAGTCTGGACACAGAAACTGAAAGCTCTGAGGTGTAATTCTGCAAATAACGAAAGACAAAAGAATTAGAAAACTTACATGTTAATAAAAATGTAGCTTTGATCACAGGAATAAATTACATTTTAAAATATATTCAAATAGAAAGCAGTTATTTTAAATAGTAAAAATATTTCACAATATTAACTTGCTGCTTTTGCTGTATTTTGGATCAAATAAATGCAGGCTTGGTGAGCAGAAGAGAATTCTTTAAAAAACATTCAAAATCTTACTGTTCAAAAACTTTTGACTGGCAGTAATGTTTTATGTGTAATGTAATACACTAGCGACCGTATATTCACGCAGCATTGCAATGGGTTCCGGTGAGGCACTTCAATAACTACTTCAGAAAACTGACAGAAGAGTTTGTACCTTCAAACTTCACCTGAATCAAGGTTATGTAAACCGTATCAAATGCACGCGCTCCAAACGAACTCTGAGGGAGATGCTCATGCGTTTTGCTTACAACGTTAACTTGAAGAAAAGGGACAGTTCGAGCAATTATCTTGTTTTTTCCCCCTCATTTTTCATCTATGTATAATACATATGACGGACGTCTTTTAGAGATTATAAAACGTTGTCAAGTTTTTAGAAGCTCATTTTTTAAAATTCCCGCCGTTCTAAATCCATAAGTTACAGTTGTCTGTTGTGCTCCGTGTCGCGCTGTTTGAAAAGTCTCTAACGCAGCACTGGGCTCAAATATCCATCAAACTGTATTTTTATCGTTCTCCAGATAAATTCAGCTCAGTACCACATTAGAGAATATTTATTATAATATTTATGTGGAAAATACTGTGGAACCGCGTGTATTTTTGAGGCTTCATAGTGCCGCGAAACTAACACTGACATACATTTAACTAGAAAATACGTCTCTGTAAACCATACTTGTACTCTTCTTAGACAACATACATATTTTTACACATATTAAACCAATAAATACAAAAATGTACTTACTAAATTTGTTGACAGAAAGTTTCCCAACTTTGTGGAGAAGCTCGCGAAGACGGCTGACCAGCGGTCTTCTCCCCTCCATTTCCTTCATTCCTATCTTTGCGTACCGCTTCGTATCCGTGAACCACAAAGCTTAAATTAGGCTTTAACCATGATTCTTGTACACATATTATTTGAGGTTTAACCTTAAAATTGTGGAAAATAATGTGTTTTTTTAACTTTAAACCGCATAAACACATTTCATTACACCAAATACACAAAATAATGTTCTTTTTAGCAGCATCATATGACCCCTTTAAGTCTATTTTTACACCTCCACTGACAAAGTTATCCTCTTGCTCCTATACGTCACATTCTACACATGACACCCGGTGAAACAGACTTTTCCTTATGCACTACGGTCTTCAAAGATTGCCTTTCGTCACAATTTCATCTATCACTTAATGGGATTTTGATTGATTGGAGTGTAGTTTGCCTCTCACGACACTTAAACATAAGAGAAATATAGTAATCTCCTCAAATCCTGTACTTTGGAGATATTTGAGACCTCTCACATCCCGTAGAAAGCAGCTCCACGGGTGCGCGCGCAGGGCTGACCGTGTCCACGAGCTATTAACAACAAGAGGAGGATCCGTGATATTATCGGCGACTGGTTAAACCTGCTCAAATATAAAACACATAAAACCACATCGTCAGCAGGGTTAAGGTGAGTCGACAGTTTTCTTTCAGTCGCGTGCATGGGGGGTAGTTTGTCGCTTGTTAAGAAAGCGAACTGAACTGGCACGGCCCAGTATTGGGGGGATGCAGTTTATTTAGATGTCTGATTTGAAACTATTCTAATTAGTAATAATCGATTATTTAAGATTATATATTTCACAGTGTGTCAGGAGTGGGCGTATTTGAGACGTTGCGATGAAATGTTACATTACATTTCTGGACATTTTGCTAAAATCAAAGAACGACTGAGATATGCATGCGACTTCAGGTGAGGCGCACAAAATATGAGAGAGCGTGCGCTCTCACGCACTTTACGAAACTCGTGTTTACTTTCTGATTCCTTTTCATTTCCAGTAACTAATGTCATTAAGTGATTGACAGGGATGGACTTTAGCATTAATTTCTTATTATGTAGACTTGTTTAACTGTTGGTTTTGTTGAGATAGTTTGGATTCTTCAGTCTACCTTCTTTTTTAATGTTATAGTGATAAAATATCTTGAAGCAGTAGTTTTATTAATGCTTTAGTTGATCAGCCCCCCCCTCAGTTTGGATCGTGCACTGCAGTTTGTGTAAATGTGACAGACAAAAGATGCTTCATTTCTCATTTTAATAATTTTCAAGACAAATTGTCGCTTATTTTGAATAAAGTTCAATTAGTCAGTGGATTTCACAAACTGGCAGCTAGCAATGTCCAATCGTCACTTAAAGGGGTCATATGATGCGATTTCAAGTTTTCCTTTCGCTTTGGAGTGTTACAAGCTCTTGGTGCATAAAGAAGATCTGTAAAGTTGCAAAGACTAAAGTCTCAAATCCAAAGAGATATTCTTTATAAAAGTTAAGAGTCAACCACGCCTACCTAAAACGGCCGTTCTAACACGCCCCCACATGTCTAGTCACTATGTGGAAATATTAGCATAATGCCGCCGGAATGTGCACGCAAAGAAAGAAGGCGTGGTTTCAGGAACAGCAGTAGTGTTGATGCAGCCATGTCAGGGAGACGCTGTGTGTTTCAGTGTGAAAGCATAAGCACTTTATTTGGCCTTCCGGAAGTAGATGCAATTAGGAATCATTGGTTAAGATTTATTTACAACAGAACAGCACAACCCATGTCAACATATTCTGTTACACCAAATACACAAAATAATGATCTTTAAAATAGCATCATATGACCCCTTTAAAACGGATCTTTTCGATGATTCGGTTGAAGCGGTGCAATAATAACGATGTGTTCACGAAGCTGTCCGAGCGAATCTTCAGATCAACTTGAATTATTAAACCGATCAAACATGAGAACTGATAAGTGAACCAAATTGACTAATCAGACGAAAAAAAGTTTTTACTTTAATATAAAATGTTAACGTTAACATTTAATTCTATGGGCTTGATGAATCCGTTTTAGAACCGGTTCTTTAAAGTGAACTGTTCGAAAGAACCGATTCGCAACTTCCCATGACTGGAGCTTGTTGTGAGGGGGTATTCGTGTCATATAGCGTATCCTTCTTCCATGGAAAGAGAACACTGTGTTCTTTTTGAACGAGTGAGAGAGAGAGAGGGGGGGGGGGTCTGTTAAAAGTTTTAGATATTAGT